TATTAGTCACAGCACCTCCTCTCCTGTTATGACATCAGCAGTGTTATAGGAATACATAGTAGACGTGTTTCTGATAATACAATCAAAGCTTACGTGATAAAATCCCTTTTATGTAGGGAGCGCCGCCTTCCATCTGCCCATCACTTCCAACAACTTCCTGGATTCCCAGTGTGCTTTGTGGCTCTTCCCCCGCTGATTGATGTGATGCGATCTCCATTTCTCAAGACTACATCTCCCATCATGCATTGCTTCCGGCAGGCAATGGTGATGTTACATTGTTCAGATGTTGAGTTGTAGTTCAGAAGGCTCTGTGTGAGAGGTGACACCAGGAAGTTCATCATTTACAGTGCTGCGTGCATTGTGTCAGTGCATTGAGGAAGTCCGTCCTATGGGCGTATCTAATAGGAAACTTCTAGACGGATCTGGTTATTAGGAGCGGGACAGAACTTGTGGAAATTATGGATTTGGTTTTAGTTTCTGACCAGAGATGCCCTTTAATGTGTCCAAATCTCGGTTCCGCAGAGTGAAGAGCACAGTGAAGACGCCCTGGCGGATCATGTGACCTCCCTGATGTCCCGCCCAGCTGTATCCCGCCCCTTTGTTGTGACATTCAGACAGACCGGAGTAGGTGGAGCCCAGACCTCAGGTATTGCCTGCGGACCTGTACACGTGATTGCTGATGTGTAGTTACATGTGCACCTCCGTGTCCCCCTCACAAAGCCCAACTGCATATTCGGTTTTAATTGGGTGCAAACTAAAGGTGTGCCAAGGCTTACAGAAAGCAGCTGCAGGAGAAAAGCATGCTCACTGCCTCCATGTTTTACAGATGGACCCTTGTTCTCTGTGCGGAAGCAGTGGTCTCTCTGCTGGGGTCTGACACACCCCAGTGCTAGAGCAATCCAATCAGCAAAGCTCGTGCTCCTTGCTGATTGGAGAGTTCTGACTCGGCAGGAAGCATGCCAGACCTCTGCGGAGAGACTACTGCTTTCACACACTGTAGATCAGGCTTATGCAAACTCCAGCTGTGATTAAAACAAATCCCACCATGCATCTGCTGCTGGGAGTCATATCTGTGGTTGTCAGTCTTGCAATGCCTGATTGGATTTGTAGTTGCCGCACAGCTGGAGGGGCGGAGTTTGCCCACCCCTGCTCTAGATGGTCCCTAGAAGGAAGCCAATCTTCACTTTTTGTTTCAGGTCCACTTTAAGTCACTGAAAAGTGTATCTCCTGCTGAGGTGCATCGGAACTAAAAGCGAAAAGCCCCCTGCCCTACACTGCTTCCTCCCTCTCCGTGTGGAAGCAGTGGTCTCTCTGCTGTGGTCTGCCACACCCCTTGCTGTTGCAAGGTTAGAGGTCTCCAATTAGCGAAGCTCATGCTCCCCACTGATTGTAGAGTTATAGGTCTGACCTCTGCAGAGAGACCACTGCTTCCACACACTAGCTGTTCCAGAGAAAAGAGCAAATGTTCACTTTTTTGTAGTTTCTGTATCCTGCACTGTGATTAGCTGCGTACAACTGACAGTTCAAACCGAGCTAGGGTCATTCCAGCAGCTATCATGTACAAGAAAGTGGCTTTGCATGTGCACGGTTCAGCCGTGGCAGCCAATAAAATTTGAGGAAATGGGCGTGGCCAGAAAGGTAGAAAATGATATGAAGGAGGATTTGATGGTCGCAGATTCCCCTTTGTATGTATTAGGAGCTCATTGATGACACGTTCTCTTCTCATTACTTGCTATCGATTGGCTGATACTTTGTTTCCTACTCCAGCGGCGGCTCAGCTCACCCGATTCACGCGAGGCGACAGAGAATACGTTACCCGCATCCCGTCCCCTCCCACGCTGACCTGTCTGCAGCTGGAGGAAGTGGAGCCCCGCCTCTTGTGTCAGCTGATCAGAGAGCGCCGGTCATGTGACTGCTAGATCCGCACGCATTCCAGATGTTTATGTTCTTGTAAATTGATCAGAAATTCTATTAAATGTTTATTTTTGTTATAAATAATTATTGATTCTTTGTCAATAAAGATCTAATATATTTACAGAGAATTCCATTTTAGCACGTGTTATATTTCCTATATGCTGATAAACCCTAACATTATGACCACCCGCCTAATATGGAGAAGGTCCCCCTTTGCTGCAAAAACAGCTCTTACCCATCAAGGTCTGGACACCACTAGACCTCTGAAGGTACGCTGTGGTATGGACACCACTAGACCTCTGAAGGTATGCTGTGGTATGGACTCCACTAGACCTCTGAAGGTATGCTGTGGTATGGACTCCACTAGACCTTGGAAGGTATGCTGTGGTATGGACTCGACTAGACCTCGGAAGGTACGCTGTGGTATGGACACCACTAGACCTCGGAAGGTACGCTGTGGTATGGACACCACTAGACCTCGGAAGGTACGCTGTGGTATGGACACCACTAGACCTCGGAAGGTACGCTGTGGTATGGACACCACTAGACCTCGGAAGGTACGCTGTGGTATGGACACCACTAGACCTCGGAAGGTACGCTGTGGTATGGACACCACTAGACCTCGGAAGGTACGCTGTGGTATGGACACCACTAGACCTCGGAAGGTACGCTGTGGTATGGACACCACTAGACCTCGGAAGGTACGCTGTGGTATGGACACCACTAGACCTCGGAAGGTACGCTGTGGTATGGACACCACTAGACCTCGGAAGGTACGCTGTGGTATGGACACCACTAGACCTCGGAAGGTACGCTGTGGTATGGACACCACTAGACCTCGGAAGGTACGCTGTGGTATGGACACCACTAGACCTCGGAAGGTACGCTGTGGTATGGACACCACTAGACCTCGGAAGGTACGCTGTGGTATGGACACCACTAGACCTCGGAAGGTACGCTGTGGTATGGACACCACTAGACCTCGGAAGGTACGCTGTGGTATGGACACCACTAGACCTCGGAAGGTACGCTGTGGTATGGACACCACTAGACCTCGGAAGGTACGCTGTGGTATGGACACCACTAGACCTCTGAAGGTATGCCATGGTATGGACTCCACTAGACCTCAGAAGGTATGCTGTGGTATGGACACCACTAGAGCTCTGAAGGTACGCTGTGGTATGGACTCCACTAGACCACTGAAGGTACGCTGTGGTATGGACACCACTAGACCTCGGAAGGTACGCTGTGGTATGGACACCACTAGACCTCTGAAGGTATGCCATGGTATGGACTCCACTAGACCTCAGAAGGTATGCTGTGGTATGGACACCACTAGACCTCTGAAGGTATGCTGTGGTATGGACTCCACTAGACCTCTGAGGTACGCTGTGATATGGACACTACTAGACCTCCGAAGGTATGCTGTGGTATGGACACCACTAGACCTCTGAAGGTATGCTGTGGTATGGACACCACTAGACCTCTGAAGGTATGCTGTGGTATGGACACCACTAGACCTCTGAAGGTATGCTGTGGTATGGACACCACTAGACCTCTGAAGGTATGCTGTGGTATGGACACCACTAGACCTCTGAAGGTATGCTGTGGTATGGACACCACTAGACCTCTGAAGGTATGCTGTGGTATGGACACCACTAGACCTCTGAAGGTATGCTGTGGTATGGACACCACTAGACCTCTGAAGGTATGCTGTGGTATGGACACCACTAGACCTCTGAAGGTATGCTGTGGTATGGACACCACTAGACCTCTGAAGGTATGCTGTGGTATGGACACCACTAGACCTCTGAAGGTATGCTGTGGTATGGACACCACTAGACCTCTGAAGGTATGCTGTGGTATGGACACCACTAGACCTCTGAAGGTATGCTGTGGTATGGACACCACTAGACCTCTGAAGGTATGCTGTGGTATGGACACCACTAGACCTCTGAAGGTATGCTGTGGTATGGACACCACTAGACCTCTGAAGGTATGCTGTGGTATGGACACCACTAGACCTCTGAAGGTATGCTGTGGTATGGACACCACTAGACCTCTGAAGGTATGCTGTGGTATGGACACCACTAGACCTCTGAAGGTATGCTGTGGTATGGACACCACTAGACCTCTGAAGGTATGCTGTGGTATGGACACCACTAGACCTCTGAAGGTATGCTGTGGTATGGACACCACTAGACCTCTGAAGGTATGCTGTGGTATGGACACCACTAGACCTCTGAAGGTATGCTGTGGTATGGACACCACTAGACCTCTGAAGGTATGCTGTGGTATGGACACCACTAGACCTCTGAAGGTATGCTGTGGTATGGACACCACTAGACCTCTGAAGGTATGCTGTGGTATGGACACCACTAGACCTCTGAAGGTATGCTGTGGTATGGACACCACTAGACCTCTGAAGGTATGCTGTGGTATGGACACCACTAGACCTCTGAAGGTATGCTGTGGTATGGACACCACTAGACCTCTGAAGGTATGCTGTGGTATGGACACCACTAGACCTCTGAAGGTATGCTGTGGTATGGACACCACTAGACCTCTGAAGGTATGCTGTGGTATGGACACCACTAGACCTCTGAAGGTATGCTGTGGTATGGACACCACTAGACCTCTGAAGGTATGCTGTGGTATGGACACCACTAGACCTCTGAAGGTATGCTGTGGTATGGACACCACTAGACCTCTGAAGGTATGCTGTGGTATGGACACCACTAGACCTCTGAAGGTATGCTGTGGTATGGACACCACTAGACCTCTGAAGGTATGCTGTGGTATGGACACCACTAGACCTCTGAAGGTATGCTGTGGTATGGACACCACTAGACCTCTGAAGGTATGCTGTGGTATGGACTCCACTAGACCTCGGAAGGTATGCTGTGGTATCTGACACCCATGTACCTCTTATAAAGGGAAGATGAAGCAAAGGCTTGGCAGGAATAACTGACTCAACATTTGTAAGGAATAAAAAAAACAACGGATCTTTATTTACAAAAATTGTACGAACAGCGGACAACGACACGTTGACCAGCAGCCCTAAAGAACGTAAAGCGTTCCCTTCCCCCGACTTTCACGAGAGGATAAATTAGAAGAGTTTACAAAAATATATATAGGGAAAATAAACATTCATCCTGATCCCTTTCATCCTTCAAAATGGCGGCCAGGTCAGGCCGTTGCACTTTTCCTTTGTATCCCACGACGATAACACTTAGAGGTTCTGTGAGACCCACACTGAGGATTGTGGAAATCCACTGCGACTGAATCGGAGCGGAGGAGAGGGGAAATGTCCACGCCAGTTCATCTTCCCCCGCTTCCCGGCGGCACTGCGTGGGCGATCCGGACGTTCCGTCGAGTGAATTGCTTGTGGCAATATTGTGTATAAGGCAGCTTAGGATTGTCACTGATGAGCTCAGAAGCAAGGAGGCCTCTCAGCTGCCAGTTGCTTTAGCTTTGTTATCTTGTCCCCGCTCTGTGCACTCGCCTCCCTCTTCCATCATTATGGAGAGGTCCAAGTCTTCTTCATAAGGAGGAGCATCTGGAGAGCAGCCTGTGCAGGACTGGAGGAGAGACAATTTATTATTAAACAGCTGAAACCAATAAAACGCTTCAAGCGGACATTGCAATAGTATACTAGATCTGCCTATAACACCCAGACCCCCGTCCTAGGTAAAATTCACCTGCGACATGTATACCTTACCCCATCTTCCACCTGTGGCGCCTAGGCAAGGTCACGTCACACAAAATCTCACACGATTTATCTACTAAGCATTAGGGATGCACCGATACCGAGTACTTGTACTCATCCATATGCTCCGATACCAGAACTTCCGATTAGAGGAAGATTTTCTCTGACCGGCAGTGCCATGGGGGGGTGGGGGGGCATACAGACAGCTTTTCCTGCAATCGGGAAGCCGGGCAGCGAGTATGGACCCGCCTTCCAGCTTCTTGATTGGCTGGGAAGCTGTCCACCCACGCTCACTGTCCACCCGCAAGGTCTGGCTTTTAAAGTCCACCAAATTCTCAGATAAGCTTTCCTCTGCATTAAGGGGTCACCCCGTCTCCATTGGGGGAAGTTTCTCAATCTTTGTGGATGCTTTTGACAGCTTCAATCTCAGATGCAGGAGTGTGAGGGGTGGTCTTTCCAGGGTCACAAACTGGAGGTTAGAAACCAAGGATGGGGGCAGTAAGTGAAACTCCAAACTTCCTATATCATCACACAGATTAACAGAGTTATATAAACCCCAAAAGATCGGTTCCACGGGTTCTACTCCAGTCTGTCCATCTGGAAAGTTAGGACTCGGGACGTGTGGAAAGTTAGGACTCGGGACGTGTGGAAAGTTAGGACTCGGGACGTGTGGAAAGTTAGGACTCGGGACGTGTGGAAAGTTCGGACTTTATGTTTTCATCAATGGACCAAGAAGAATATGGAAATTTTTGTACTCGCCATAACATCATTTTCTTGGAGTCCCTTCAAGAGACACAATTACTGCCCCTGTGTGTTTATGATCATGCTCTCAGTACTGCTCTACTACAACCATGAGACATGCTTATAGAGGGAAAGGTTATCCTGGGCTGGCCTACAGTTTTATTGTTTGTTATTGTCCAGTAGGTGGCAGTATAACCTGAAAGTTAGGATTTCCTGTGTCCCTCAATGGATTTTCTTATGGTACTTAATTAATAATACTGATTACTTGTGGAATGAGTACAGTAGTTCCCCTTTCATTTCTGGAGTATAAACCATGCAATATATATCACAGATGTTCTCTGCCATTCATACATATGTATACACTCACAGTGATATTGATGACATGGGGTAATCGTCCCCTTCTGACCCAGCTATGAACCTCCCCCAGCTCCCTCTTCTGCTCCTCGCTGAACCTGGGCTGGTTTCTCTGGAGTTGCTTGAGCTTCTCCCGATCTTCCTGAAGGACACTTTCCATGTCTCTGTGAAGGGACAACAATGAACCTTAAATGTGGCAAAAATCAACTGAGATCAATTCTAGAACAGGCCAAAGACCTTATTCTTAGATGACATTTCTAGGATTCTAACCTAGTTGGAATCTGGTAGGACATCATCACTTCATGGTCGGTGTTGGCCATTAGTAGCCAGAGTGGGTCCTGTATGACGTAGCTGATCACCTTCCTCTCGGCCTCTTCCCTCTCGGCCATTTTAACCCTCAAATCTGTCTCCGATGAATCGATACTCCCAAAATACTTGCTGGTGTTGCTGCTCTCGCTGCTCCCTGAGTGAGAAGAAAAAGGACGGATGGTTACAATGTGGACCAGGAAGGACTGAACTGTTAAAAAGCCAAACAAATGGCAAAACGCCAACATTTCAGCTGAATTACACTTCACTTGATGACATTGGTCCGTTTCATTCACAGGTACCAGTGTTATCTCTCGGGTCATCAACAGATGAAAACAAATAAAACAGATATCTTACCGGTGCCGCATGCGGAAGTGCTTCCTCCATTAGAGCCCATTGAACCGGAAACGGCAGAGCCAGAGCAGGAATCTTCTTGGAGGAGGAGATCCAGAAAATCGCTAGAGCTAGAGAGAGCATCGTGATGTGACGAGGATTCCTGATTATCACCCTGGAGATGGGGAGGAATAAGACGATATTTGTACTCACCGTAAAATCCTTTTTTTTGGAGATCATTGAGGGACACAGGAAGTCTTCAACCTTCAGGTTATAATGCCGCCTACAGCAGGAAGGACACTGGCAAACACAAGAACTGTAGACCAGCCCAGGATAACCCCTTCTAATACCAGCATGCCTCAGTTGTTTTCAGAGTGCACCTTCACAGGAAAGGGTGGAACCCAATCCTCGAGACCATAAGCCTGAATGATGGTCTGCCTGAGCCACCTAGAGATGGTGGTACAAGAAGCCGGTGCACCCTTATAAGGTCCATCTGGGACTACATAAGGCAGGGATGGGACTACATAAGGCAGGGATGGGACTACATAAGGCAGGGATGGGACTACATAAGGCAGGGATGGCCAAACTGTGCCCCTCCAGCTGTGGTGGAACTACGAATCCCATGAGGCTTTGCAAGATTCTCACAGCCACAGACATGACTCCCGGAGAGAGATGCTTCATGGGATTTGTAGTTTCACCACAGCTGGAGGGCCAGAGTCTGGCCATCCTTGACATAAGGGGAATCGGTCTTCCTGTAGGAAGCAGTGGCTGAGTGATGGACTCTTGCAGCCCAAGCCACATTCAGACAATGAAGGGAAACAGAAATGAATTAGCCTCTAACACAGCAGAGCTGCAGCAAAGACATCCATCCTCTTAGGACACTAGTAAAGACTGAGACATGCTGGTAGTGGGAGGAGTTAGCCTGGGCCGGCCTACAGTTGTTTTTATTTTTCAGTGTCCAGTCCTTGTGTATGTGGCAGCATAACCCGAAGATTAGAGAATTCCAGGGTCCCTCAATGGATGAGAAGGAAAACAGGACAATAGGTAAGTGATGCAAGCAGATGCAGTGGCGAGGTACAGAAAAGGTTATCAGAAGATGGTACAGGACATACAGATGTAGCTACATAGAGACAAAGTGCAGGTAAACCCTAACCATGAACTTCTCTCAAGTGCTCCCTTTTAGTCTGCTAAACATAAAATTAAGTGTTTTATCTATTGATGATTAGTGTAAAAAATACCCAGAAGTCCAGTAAGCTGATAACTTAGCGTGCTCTCTGTACTGACTGTTATTTGTTCCCAGTTCTCTCTGTACCTCCAGGAGCAAGTGTTCTCTTATCCTAAATGTCCTAGGGTGATAATACAGCTCCTCCATAGACAAATGTGACATAGAGTTATCACTCTCGGACAGGAAGTTACTGGCAGGATCACCAGGTAAAGATGAAGGAGGAGGGCATAATAGAGTGGTATAAGCACAGCAACAAGATGGAGCAGCCTGTGATATTTGGGCCATGTAAGATGGAGGGGCTTGTGATACTGGGGCCATGTAAGATGGAGGGGCTTGGGATATTGGGGCCATGTAAGATGGAGCAGCCTGTAATACTGGGGCCGTGTAAGATGGAGCGGCTTGTGATATTGGGGCCATGTACGATAGAGCGGCTTGTGATATTAGGGCCGTGTAAGATGGAGGGGCTTGTGATATTGGGGCCATGTACGATAGAGCGGCTTGTGATATTAGGGCCGTGTAAGATGGAGGGGCTTGTGATATTGGGGCCATGTACGATAGAGCGGCTTGTGATATTAGGGCCGTGTAAGATGGAGGGGCTTGTGATATTGGGGCCATGTACGATAGAGCGGCTTGTGATATTAGGGCCGTGTAAGATGGAGGGGCTTGTGATATTGGGGCCATGTACGATAGAGCGGCTTGTGATATTAGGGCCGTGTAAGATGGAGGGGCTTGTGATATTGGGGCCATGTACGATAGAGCGGCTTGTGATATTAGGGCCGTGTAAGATGGAGGGGCTTGTGATATTGGGGCCATGTACGATAGAGCGGCTTGTGATATTAGGGCCGTGTAAGATGGAGGGGCTTGTGATATTGGGGCCATGTACGATAGAGCGGCTTGTGATATTAGGGCCGTGTAAGATGGAGGGGCTTGTGATATTGGGGCCATGTACGATAGAGCGGCTTGTGATATTAGGGCCGTGTAAGATGGAGGGGCTTGTGATATTGGGGCCATGTACGATAGAGCGGCTTGTGATATTAGGGCCGTGTAAGATGGAGGGGCTTGTGATATTGGGGCCATGTACGATAGAGCGGCTTGTGATATTAGGGCCGTGTAAGATGGAGGGGCTTGTGATATTGGGGCCATGTACGATAGAGCGGCTTGTGATATTAGGGCCGTGTAAGATGGAGGGGCTTGTGATATTGGGGCCATGTACGATAGAGCGGCTTGTGATATTAGGGCCGTGTAAGATGGAGGGGCTTGTGATATTGGGGCCATGTACGATAGAGCGGCTTGTGATATTAGGGCCGTGTAAGATGGAGGGGCTTGTGATATTGGGGCCATGTACGATAGAGCGGCTTGTGATATTAGGGCCGTGTAAGATGGAGGGGCTTGTGATATTGGGGCCATGTACGATAGAGCGGCTTGTGATATTAGGGCCGTGTAAGATGGAGGGGCTTGTGATATTGGGGCCATGTACGATAGAGCGGCTTGTGATATTAGGGCCGTGTAAGATGGAGGGGCTTGTGATATTGGGGCCATGTACGATAGAGCGGCTTGTGATATTAGGGCCGTGTAAGATGGAGGGGCTTGTGATATTGGGGCCATGTACGATAGAGCGGCTTGTGATATTAGGGCCGTGTAAGATGGAGGGGCTTGTGATATTGGGGCCATGTACGATAGAGCGGCTTGTGATATTAGGGCCGTGTAAGATGGAGGGGCTTGTGATATTGGGGCCATGTACGATAGAGCGGCTTGTGATATTAGGGCCGTGTAAGATGGAGGGGCTTGTGATATTGGGGCCATGTACGATAGAGCGGCTTGTGATATTAGGGCCGTGTAAGATGGAGGGGCTTGTGATATTGGGGCCATGTAAGATGGAGCAGCCTGTAATACTGGGGCCGTGTAAGATGGAGCGGCTTGTGATATTGGGGCCATGTACGATAGAGCGGCTTGTGATATTAGGGCCGTGTAAGATGGAGGGGCTTGTGATATTGGGGCCATGTAAGATGGAGGGGCTTGTGATATTGGGGCCATGTAAGATGGAGGGGCTTGTGATATAGGGGCCATGTAAGATTTATAATGGGGTTGATGGACACAGAATGACAAGATGGTCATGGCAATGACAGCGATGAAGAGTACAGTAGAAGGCGTGTGTACATCTAATAATAATGTGGAGGAAGCAGTTAAACATAAAAATAATCACCATGCAGTTCTCTTGCTGTCTGTCATCTTCTCCAGGTCCTGTCCCCGGGTTGGGTCCCCTGGCTGTGAAATTACCAGGGGCTGCTCCTCCTTCCTCTTCTAGCTCCCCTCCGGGTCCTCCTCCTCCGGCATTAGTTTGCGGTAGCTCCTCCATCTGCAGCAGGTCAAGCTGTAGCGGAGAGCTGCATCGTGACGGGAAGAGCCGCTGGGGTGGGGAAGAGGAACGGGGAGGAGGGGGGCAGGGGGCCACAGGGGGAGGAGGAGCTGGTGCCGGAGGAGGAGCTTCAGAAGCTTGTGTGGGTGCTTCAGCGTTGGGATTAAAAGTAGGAAACCCTGAAACCCCAGGAAAGAATGGTGTCGCCACAGGGGGAGGTTGGAAGAGATAGTTGGGGAGTACGAGGGCAACAATGGGTGTGACAAGAGGGTAACTAGGGAGGGACGGGGCTGGTTCAGGAGCAGGAGGCCGGGGAGAGAACATAGGGAGGGGGTAACCAGGGATAACTGGGGGAGGAGGAAGGAGAGGAGCCTCTGGGTGGTTGGTCATTGGCATGGAAGTGGGTGACAAAGGTTTGCCTTGCTTTGGCCGCTTGGCTTTGGATTTTCGACTTTTGCCCCGGTGGCCGCCATTATTTGTACCCTCCCGCGATGGGGGAGCAGGATTGCTGGCAGAGCTGTGGTGGTGTTGGTGGGATCGCGAGGGTTTAGTTCCTGTGTGGAAGAATATTAAATGAATTAAATATTCAAACATGACCATATAACAAGAACCCATATCTGAAAACATCTAAGCAATTCATAACCAAAATACCACGATTGGATGGCTATAAAGGGCAATTCACACTTTCCAGGCTTAGTATCACTTTAAATCATTCAGCATAGACTCCGGTGACATCCTGTCTGCCCCAGTAGAGAATGAGAATGGCACATGCTTTTAAATCTTTATAGTAAGGGAAAGGGTGATGGGAAGGATGAAGGGAGGTGATGGGAAGGGAGGTGATGGGAAGGGGAAGGGAGGTGATGGGAAGGATGAAGGGAAGTTATGGGAAGGGGAAGGATGGTGATGGGATGGGTGATGTGAAGGGGAGGGATGATGGGGAGAAGGTGATAAGAAGGGGAATGGCAATGGGGAGGGGTGATGGGAAGGGGAGGGGTTGAAGGGAAGAAGAGAGGTGATGGGGAGGGAAGATAGTAAAAAAAGAAGGGTGATGGGAAGTAGAGGGGTGATAGGAAGGAAAGGAATGATGGGAAAAAGAAGGGTGATGGGAAGGAGAGGAATGATGGGAAAAAGAAGGGTGATGGGAAGTAGAGGGGTGATGGGAAGGGGAGGGTTGAGACCCATAAGTTGAACATCTCGAAATAAGTGGAGGGCCGCTCAGAAGTGGCAAGGAGCTTTGAGAGGTTCAAGAAAAGCAACTGGGACCCAACCTTCTGTAGACATCACTTTGCCGGATTATATAATGTAGGTAAAGCCACAGGACAAGGACACCACGCTGATATATTTACACTTGTCATACCTCAGTATATTATTACATTTATTTTTGGGCTCCTGTTACCAGACCTGTGCTCAGCCCCCCATCCTGAAGTTGCCTTGGAAAGCAACTCTAGAACAAAATTGGCAAAACACTGCCCCCCTGATAAGAAGACAGTATTTACCGAGCTGCCAAATGCCTCTGTAAGAGAAGCCGCCACCTGAAAACTGTTTAGAATCTGACACTACCGGACGTGCCAATTTTCTGGTCCCCCGCTGTGCTCTGTGGTTCCCCCTGCCGCCCTCTATGATAATACAGGGCCCATCGGATGGAACCCCTAAGCACAGAAGGGGACCAGGAGAGCGACATTCCCGGAAATGTCCGATTCTGGAGGATCTTTGGCCGGTGGTTTTTCTGTGTCTGGCGGTGTCGGCAACGGAATAGGCAAATACCAAACAACTTTTTTTTTTTTAAGGGAACATTCTTTTGGCAAAAAGGAGAACATAAGGACATCGAAAACCAGAGACAAACTGAAAGCTAAAAACATAGAGAGGGGGAACTGACCTCTGGGCCCCCGCTGGCTCTGCTCTTCCAATGCTCCTGCAGGAACGGGGTCGAACACCCGCAACTGGCTGAGGTTGTGGACGCGAGTTAAGAACGCTTGTTCCTCCCGTTGGGTGTGGGCGGAGAGGACTTCCTTGGTCAGCCCCAGCGGTCGTAGTGGCGGCGGTGGGGCCGCAGGGCATGATGATTCCTCCAAAGACACCATTTCAGCTGTGGGAAGAAAAACACAACATTTTCTGCATTAGTTCCCGTGATCAGAGCTGAGAATTCCATATTTATTATCGGCTTTGCTACTTGTACATATGGGAGGGGCAAACAAGGCAGAAAACACACTGATTGCACTAAAAAGCTTTTCGTTTGTAAACTGCGCTCCAATTAAACATGGCAGGTTAGCGTTGCTTGGTGGAAACAGCTGTACGAGTATCTGAGAATGGTCATCAGGGGGGGTCATCATGTATCAGTATCATCATTTTCTGACTGGCCCCCCAAATCTGAGCACACATAATCCCTAGGTCTCTACAATAGCGCGTCCGGAAGTTGACTCAGTTACAGGTTCATCCTCACCGGCCAATATACTCCAAAAAGATACATGCAACGCACTTCGATATCCTCCCCTCGCTTCGAGGAAGTCACATCAACCGCCTGAGCTCCTCCTGCTGACAAGTTTCACTCTTTATTGGGCTTAGTGTTGTGAGCAGATGTGTTCTCTGGTTCTTGCACTACTGCAGCCCCCCACCCCCACACTGCTTGGGCAATAAAAGGAGCTTGCACAGAACCACATGGCAAGGGGCAGCAGCCCCGCTCAGAAGCACCATGGAAGTTCTGCTGAATCTCAGCACACGGGATTATAATAAGAACTCCTATGAAGGTACACAGAGCGGACCCACTAACTGGAGCTTTGGGTTCTTGGTTGTCTGGATTCAACTGTTCAAATGACACACAGAGCTGATATTCTAAATAAAAAGTTAACACAACAGAATACACTCCTTAACATTTTTCTACATTTGTTGCCAATTGTGATTCCGGTGTAGTGCAAGACAACCGAAGAATATTGGGAAAAGTAGGAACAGAAAAATAAAATGGCTACAAGGAATGTTTGGAGGCTGCATTCGTTTAAATTTTTTAGGCTTCTTTTCTCGATCCTGCCAGTAACATACCGCCGCCTGTCCTAGGGTGACAACGCTCACTTAGGCCCCATTCACACTTGGCGATTCGCAAATCGCGCGTTTGCTGCGCTATTTGCATTTTGCGCGATATCAAATGCTTGCATTGAAAAGCATTGAATCGCGGCAAAATCCGCTCCAAAAAGGGTCCTGCTGTAGCGACACATGACCCGCGACAGCAGGACCCTTTGCTCCATTGCCAAGCATTGGAGAGCGATACCGCGCGGTAAATAGCCGCGATATCGCGGGAATTACCGTGCGATAAATCGCTCAGTGTGAACGGGGCCTTACTGTACTGTATCTTTTAAGTAGCAGCGTTGTCACCCTAGGGCCGGAAGTGGTTTAGGACTACATAACAACTCCGTCTCTTCTCTTGGCCATAACAAAGGGTGACGTGTTCTGTGGTCCTGACAATACGTGCTAATTGGCTCCTGGCCGTTCACAAAATGAAGGCTGCGGATGTGTGTTTTGTGATCGGTCTGGAGCAGAGGGAGGTGAAGACTAGTGCTGGGGTCTATAAGACCTGCAGAGGTTAATGTCCAGACTGTCCCCTAGTAGTAGAGCATGAAGATTTGCAGCATAGGGAACAAAGCGTTCATGGCAGGCGGTGGCTTTTGAGTCTTCAGCTTCTTTAACCCTAGTAAGCTTATTGGGCCCCAAGTTGGGCTTTAAGAAAAAAAAAAAAAAAAAGAAGTAGAAAATACTCACCTTACCTTCTAGCAGGCTTTCCCAGGAAGGGGGACATCACTGGGCCTTCTCATGGAATTCTGGGAAAGCTAAGGAACCCAAGTCCTGCACCAATGTAGAGTACAGGAGTGCACTCCTATGGGATTTGGGGTACTCAGCTTTGCCAGGACCCTGGAGAAGGCCCAGTGATGTCACCTTAGTCTACAGCAGGGGTGCCCACAAGGTCGATCGCCATGTCCTCTCCTCCTGCCGCTTCTCTGGATCCCCGCTGCTCTCCCCAGCGGGGATGCGAGAAGAAGAGAAGGAACCGGACGAGCGGGGGAGGGCGGAGGACAGAGCCGCTGTCACAGAACTAATGCAGAGCGGTGAGGAGAGAGAGAGAGAGAGAGAGAGAGAGAGAGAGACGCTCGGCCAGGATCTGACAGCCGGCGCCTCTCTCTCCCCTCACTGGGGACACGTACTGTAGTACTATGTGTGTCCCCAGTTATAAATGAATGAACAGGAGGTGATTTACATCACGTCCCGTGTTCATGCATGAGTTTCTCAATGGGGAGAAGCACTCTGTACAGAGGCTCCTCCCCATTCAGAAACAGCTTGATAGTAAAATATTTTCTGAATGAATGGGAAGCCTCTGTGCTTTCCATTCATTTAGAATAGAGGCTGCAGAAAAAGAGATTGAGGACTTTGTGTCCTCAATTTCTTTTTCTATTTTAAAAGGGAAATATCAAGGGGCTTTTTAGACACCTAACATTTCCCCGAAGCCCCCCCAAGAGTAAAAAAAAAAAAAATTACGTAAATTTAAAAAAAATAAAAATAAATAATGAAAATATTTTTCCTTGCCTCAGGCGCAAAAGTAGCTGGCTAAGGCTATGCTCCTGTGGTGCTCGTGCGGCTGAATGTGTCAGACAAGACGAAAAATAGTGGGCGCCCCTGGTCTACAGGATGCAGTCAGATGACGGGGTATAGGGGTGAGTATTGTTTCATTTTCCTGCTTCTATATATTTTTTTTAATTTAAAGAGACCCTGTCACCAACTGAAAACACTGCAGGTAAAAGCACAGAAAAACCAAGTATTTGAAATGCTTTCTTGCAGCCGTTCTCTATCCCATAAATTATTTTTCATTTACTTGCAATGTAAAATTTGGACTTGCCGGAAAATGTGACGAGCGAATTCCCTCGCACAGTCCTATACTATAGAGCGTCACTGGGGTGACAGCTCTGAGTCTGCTGGGGATTCTGGCATCGCATCCAAAATGGCGGCACTGAGCTGCAGCCTCACGGATTTTACACACGAAAGGCTTCTACAGAAAATCTTTTGGGAAGATTGTTGTTGAAATTAGTACAAGACCAGGTGCACTCGGCAGAAGACAGGAGCAGAACTGGAGCACTCAGTAGAAGACCCGGAGCACTCAGTAGTAGAAGACTGTAGCAGAACCGGAGCACTCAGTGGAAGACCCAAAGCACTCAGTGGAAGACCCGGAACATTCAGTGGAAGACCCGGAGCATTCAGTGGAAGACAGATGAAGACCCGGCGCACTCAGTAGAAGACAGGAGCACTCAGTAGAAGACCAGGAGCACTCAGTAGAAGACCAGGAGCACTCAGTAGAAGACAGGAGGATACCCGGAGCACTCAGTAGAAGACCAGGAGCACTCAGTAGACGACCCGGAGCACTCAGTAGAAGACCCGGAGCACTCAGTAGAAGACCCGGAGCACTCAGTAGAAGATCCGGAGCACTCAGTAGAAGACAAGAGCAGACCCGGAGCACTCAGTAGAAGGCAGGAGCACTCAGTAGAAGGCAGGAGCACTCATTAGAAGGCAGGAGCAGACCCGGAGCACTCAGTAGAAGATCCGGAGCACTCAGTAGAAGACAAGAGAAGACCCGGAGCACTCAGTAGAAGGCAGGAGCACTCAGTAGAAGACCCGGAGCACTCAGTAGAAGACGAGGAGCACTCAGTAGAAGACCAGGAGCACTCAGTAGAAGACAGGAGGATACCCGGAGCACTCAGTAGAAGACCAGGAGCACTCAGAAGAAGGCAGGAACAGACCCAGAGCACTCAGTAGAAGACCTGAAGGAGAACCAGAGCACTTCATAGAAGACCCAGAGGAGAACCAGAGCACTTCATAGAAGACCCAGAGGAGAACCAGAGCACTTAGTAGAAGACCCAGAGGAGAACCAGAGCACTCAGTAGAAAACCAGGAGCACTCAGTAGAAGGCAGGAGCAGACCCGGAGCACTCAGTAGAAGGCAGGAGCAGACCCAGAGCACTCAATAGAAGACCCGGAGGAGAACCAGAGCACTCAGTAGAAGACAGGAGAACTCAGTAGAAGACAGGAGCAGACCTGGAGCACTCAGTAGAAGACCCGGAGCACTCAGTAGAAGACCTGGAGCAGACCCGGAGAACTCAGTAGAAGTCAGGAGCAGACCCAGAGCACTCAGTAGAAGATCCGGAGCACTCAGTAGAAGACAAGAGCAGACCCGGAGCACTCAGTAGAAGGCAGGAGCACTCAGTAGAAGGCAGGAGCTGACCCGGAGCATTCAGTAGAAGATCCGGAGCACTCAGTAGAAGACAAGAGCAGACCCGGAGCACTCAGTAGAAGGCAGGAGCACTCAGTAGAAGGCAGGAGCACTCAGTAGAAGGCAGGAGCACTCAGTAGAAGTCAGGAGCAGACCCAGAGAACTCAGTAGAAGTCAGGACCAGACCCAGAGCACTCAGTAGAAGACAGGAGCAGACCCGGAGCACTCAGTAGAAGACAGGAGCAGACCCGGAGCACTCAGTAGAAGACAGGAGCAGACCGGAGCACTCAGGAGCAAACCCGGAGCACTCAGTAGAAGATCCGGAGCACTCAGTAGAAGATCCGCAGCAGACCCGTAGAAGACCGGGAGCACTCAGTTTATAGACCTGGGGCATGACTTTGGTGCCAGGGTCTAGCCACACCCATGATAAAAAGGTAGTAAGAGTTGAGTTCAATATTGATCTCATATGTTTTTATTATTTACAACCCTTTGATATCAATTATTAGAATACTTTGAGGTATAATTTTTTATGTGTCATCTTTTTATAGTTGAATAGGTTTTATTGAACATATATACAAGTCATAAGAAAAAGAACGAGTAACTCAGTGTATTCAGATCAGAATGTGACCGGAGCATGCAGTAGAAGAGCAGGAGCACTCAGTAGAAGCCAAGAGCAGACCCGGAGCACTCAGTAGAAGGCAGGAGCACTCAGTAGAAGGCAGGAGCACTCAGTAGAAGTCAGGAGCAGACCCAGAGAACTCAGTAGAAGTCAGGACCAGACCCAGAGCACTCAGTAGAAGACAGGAGCAGACCCGGAGCACTCAGTAGAAGACAGGAGCAGACCCGGAGCACTCAGTAGAAGACAGGAGCAGACCGGAGCACTCAGGAGCAAACCCGGAGCACTCAGTAGAAGATCCGGAGCACTCAGTAGAAGATCCGCAGCAGACCCGTAGAAGACCGGGAGCACTCAGTTTATAGACCTGGGGCATGACTTTGGTGCCAGGGTCTAGCCACACCCATGATAAAAAGGTAGTAAGAGTTGAGTTCAATATTGATCTCATATGTTTTTATTATTTACAACCCTTTGATATCAATTATTAGAATACTTTGAGGTATAATTTTTTATGTGTCATCTTTTTATAGTTGAATAGGTTTTATTGAACATATATACAAGTCATAAGAAAAAGAACGAGTAACTCAGTGTATTCAGATCAGAATGTGAGTAAATGCTTTAAGCACGTTGCAGCCAAAAAAATACAATATTGAGCTCACAGCTCACAGATAACAATAAATGCAGATAAGAGGAAAAAAAAGGAGGAAAAAAAAGAGGATAAAAAATTAAAGGGGGAAAAAAATGAAATAGGGAAGGAAAGAGAAGGGGAGGGTAGGCCCAGGCAGTCTAAATAGAAAATAATAATGGAGGTAAGTACAGGATAAAGGTGACAGTGGTATAGTTAGCTCTGTAAGTCATTGGAGTCTAGAAAATGAATCCATAAGGACCATGGGGTAGAGAAGCGCTGTAGAATGTCAGTGGCAAGGAGTTCTTCTAGCCGCATGATTTAATTAATGTTGCTAAGCCACAGAGATAATGAAGGGGTAGTAGATGTCTTCCAAAATGCGGGGATAACCTGGCGAGCTGCAGCTAAAAAAATGCCTCAACAGAATCCGCTTTTGAGTTTTCCTAGATCCCGGTAAAAGGGATAACGGAGCAATTTCAGCAGATGGCACCAGAGAATCTCCATATAACTTAATATAGAAATTATAATGTAAATAAGTTGCCTCTCCACATCGACCAACAAATATCAGAGGTAGCTGGAAAGATACGATGTAGAGAGGCCGGGTCACGGTACCATCTAGAAATAATCTTGTAATTTGTCTCCATAGCTAGATATAGAGGATTTATGTGTGAAGTAGAAAATGGTATCCCAGTCAGTCTCTGACATGGTGCGGGATAAGTCATCATGCCAAGCAATTGGTCATAATGTTTAAGATGAAGCATCCCATAAAGCAATGATGCGTGTCGTGGCGGTTTCCCAGACGGCGAGTCAAATCTCTGTGTACAAGATTAGTACAATGTAAAGTTTTACAAAAGAGAGAGTTGCTACCCAGAAAGCCAACTGAAGAGCGAGTCGAAGTAATCAATGTGCCCGCGGACGGATGTACAAAATCTCTGGCTAAGGGCCAAGTCTTGCACGTATACCCTCCTAAAGAGGAGACGGCAATACTCACTGGTAAAGAGGGGTTTTCAAATGGAGGAGTCAGGGGGACTAGGAGTGATGGAGAGATAAAGATCCCGGGTAGAGTGCCAAACACAGAGCACTCAGGAGCAAACCCGGAGCACTCAGTAGAAGATCCGGAGCACTCAGTAGAAGATCCGCAGCAGACCCGTAGAAGACCGGGAGCACTCAGTTTATAGACCTGGGGCATGACTTTGGTGCCAGGGTCTAGCCACACCAGGAGCACTCAGGAGCAAACCCGGAGCACTCAGTAGAAGATCCGGAGCACTCAGTAGAAGATCCGCAGCAGACCCGTAGAAGACCGGGAGCACTCAGTTTATAGACCTGGGGCATGACTTTGGTGCCAGGGTCTAGCCACACCCATGATAAAAAGGTAGTAAGAGTTGAGTTCAATATTGATCTCATATGTTTTTATTATTTACAACCCTTTGATATCAATTATTAGAATACTTTGAGGTATAATTTTTTATGTGTCATCTTTTTATAGTTGAATAGGTTTTATTGAACATATATACAAGTCATAAGAAAAAGAACGAGTAACTCAGTGTATTCAGATCAGAATGTGAGTAAATGCTTTAAGCACGTTGCAGCCAAAAAAATACAATATTGAGCTCACAGCTCACAGATAACAATAAATGCAGATAAGAGGAAAAAAAAGGAGGAAAAAAAAGAGGATAAAAAATTAAAGGGGGAAAAAAATGAAATAGGGAAGGAAAGAGAAGGGGAGGGTAGGCCCAGGCAGTCTAAATAGAAAATAATAATGGAGGTAAGTACAGGATAAAGGTGACAGTGGTATAGTTAGCTCTGTAAGTCATTGGAGTCTAGAAAATGAATCCATAAGGACCATGGGGTAGAGAAGCGCTGTAGAATGTCAGTGGCAAGGAGTTCTTCTAGCCGCATGATTTAATTAATGTTGCTAAGCCACAGAGATAATGAAGGGGTAGTAGATGTCTTCCAAAATGCGGGGATAACCTGGCGAGCTGCAGCTAAAAAAATGCCTCAACAGAATCCGCTTTTGAGTTTTCCTAGATCCCGGTAAAAGGGATAACGGAGCAATTTCAGCAGATGGCACCAGAGAATCTCCATATAACTTAATATAGAAATTATAATGTAAATAAGTTGCCTCTCCACATCGACCAACAAATATCAGAGGTAGCTGGAAAGATACGATGTAGAGAGGCCGGGTCACGGTACCATCTAGAAATAATCTTGTAATTTGTCTCCATAGCTAGATATAGAGGATTTATGTGTGAAGTAGAAAATGGTATCCCAGTCAGTCTCTGACATGGTGCGGGATAAGTCATCATGCCAAGCAATTGGTCATAATGTTTAAGATGAAGCATCCCATAAAGCAATGATGCGTGTCGTGGCGGTTTCCCAGACGGCGAGTCAAATCTCTGTGTACAAGATTAGTACAATGTAAAGTTTTACAAAAGAGAGAGTTGCTACCCAGAAAGCCAACTGAAGAGCGAGTCGAAGTAATCAATGTGCCCGCGGACGGATGTACAAAATCTCTGGCTAAGGGCCAAGTCTTGCACGTATACCCTCCTAAAGAGGAGACGGCAATACTCACTGGTAAAGAGGGGTTTTCAAATGGAGGAGTCAGGGGGACTAGGAGTGATGGAGAGATAAAGATCCCGGGTAGAGTGCCAAACACGTAGCACAGCTGCCGTGAAGAGAGAGAACGTAAATGGGGCTCTACACAGAGTCACGTGTTATCTTTTTATATATTGTTCATGCTTATGTTATCTGAAGTTATATTATTTTATTCCCAGCCCTGGTGAAGGGGAGTTTTGAGCCCCTTATACACATTGGCTTCTTGTCCATCTTGAATCAACCGGACTCTTACTAGTGCTGTGGCGCTCTCATCTTTTCTATATTCCTCAGGAACCCCCCAGGTGACAAAGAGCTGCCTCCTGACTTTGAATTGCAACCCCTACCTCTGTTTCAATCTCTGTCTAAAGCCATGAGCCAACTTGTTATTAAGATAGATGATGGGACAAAAGTACTTGCTAATGGAAACGGGATTCCGTGATCTCTGAAGGGACAAAGAGAAGTTACTGAACTAAAGGGGTTTCCCTGTTGGCTGGAATTGATCTTGTGAAAAAAACCAAGTGTGCACCTTATCTGCCCTGCCGAAAAGTGACAGAGCCACACTACCAAGCAAAGCAGAAAAAAAAAAAAAAAGATGTAGATTTTGCACACAATTCCGTTTCCTCAGCATTGGTCCACCAGTCCCTTCCACCCCGAATCCTCAGCAGTAGACTGGCCCAAGCAAAATTACCGGAGTCTGGTGGTTTTTTGTCTCCCACGTGGACAATTGTGCTGCTGAAGCTTCCTTGGCTAGTGATGGACACCACGCTCTCTGCCTTGCTGAGGGGTAGAGGAGGCAGAGGAGCCAGAGGTGAGGAGCCGACTGCTGCTGGTGTGGGTGGAGGAGGCAGATCCTGCTGCTGTGCTGGGCCAGCCGAGGGGTCTGTGAAAAAATACAAACACCAGAACACAACTTTAACATTTCCTCCCCTTGATGTCTGCTACATGTATGAACATGTGTCCCGGGTCTCACCTTCCTTGTCGCTCTCCGCCGTCCTCTGTTTCTCCTCCTCCGAGGTGGACGAGGTGTACGATGACGAGCCACATTTTCTCTTCACTGTGCCGGGAAGGTTACAGCTCTCCAGGTATCTGCAAAGGAGATGGAATATGAGCAAGGAATGGAAAGTCACATTTATTTGCTGGCTAGTATTGCTACATGCTGTGTATGGGTTCTATAGATTAAATGAAGACTGCACCTGATGGAGGGACCCTTACCTGGCCGAGTGATTTCCCTATATTTGTAAATGAGACCCATGTTGTAGTAATAGCCTAATTTAGCTCAATGGAAAACTCCAGTTTATTGAAGATTTATTCAAACAATGTAATTATTTAGTAATTGTATGTAACTTAGAGCAAGCTTGCCATTTTAGTCTAAAGCAAAGTGCACTTGTCCTTTTTGCCACCTTCCCCTGATCTAACCTGCCCCCCCCCTGACCCCCCCTCCCACAGAGCCATACTTCGATCCGACAGCCACGGCCTCCGGTGTTTGTTTACAGTCAGCAATGCAAGTCTTCACTGTTCTGGCCGCCACTGCACATTGCAGCCCAATAGACTTCTATGGAACTGTCTCTGGCCTCAGGACGCAGCCCCATAGATGTCTATGGGGCATTAATGTGCAGACACGATCAGAACAGTCAAGAATTGCTGTATGTAATGGCCATTGGATCTAGGCAAGTATGGATCTGTGGAAGGGGAGTGAGGTTAGGGTAGGGGAAGTTGGTAAAAAGGATAAATTCCCTTTGTTTTCCATCCTTTAACAAAATATTAAGATTATGTTTCATCACAACCACCGAAAAAAATTCTAAATCTGCCCTGGAAAAAGTCTGAACTTTGTAATCTGACCGGGCACCCCAAAAGCAAATGGACATGAAAATGATAACTGAGCCCCTTAATCTGGATGGCTGGCTTTCCAAGGGGTCATTACACGTTCATTTGCTTCTGCGAAAGTTATTTCAGTAATATAAAAGTATAATGGTGACGTGATGGATGAATTGAACATGAAAGTGGTGTGGAGAGGAAGATATTTCCCTGCGCACAACTTGTTTCCTGTTCACTTCTTACCGGATGATGCTGTCCAGGCAGTTGATCTGCTGGTAGGAATAGTTGGAGGTCTCTTTTCGCGTCAGCTCTTCAGGCATACGGGGAGCCGCTGTGTCGGGAGGAGTGTTCTGGACGCTGGCTGGAGGGACTGTGCGAGCCGGAGCGAGTGCTGGGGTGAGAAAAGTCAAGTCTTAATAAACTCCTTGTGCACAAACACATTGTTTCAGATGTGACATGTGGCTCCATATTATTTGCCCATTACCAGGGAAGAAATAGCAGACCAGGCTTTGGAAGAGTTATCCTATCCATATACACAGGCAACTGTCTAGCACATAGATCAATGAAGAGACCAACACCTCTGCTATACAAATATACAATTATATACAGTTGGAGGTCGGTTGCCCTGACCTGGTCATCTGCTGTTTATGATCCTTTTAGCTCACATCAAGTCTACAATTGAAAGCAATGGGCTCTCTGCAGTCCCCAATTACATTAAAGGCTCCTTTCAGCCAGAGACCATGTGATCCAGGCTTCACAAACTGTCCTATTCATTAGGATTGATGACAAGTCCACCCTAAGTTCTCTTGACAGAGTGACAGGTTTACCCTACACACATCTGGAAGCCTCAATGGTTTTTTTGGCTGCATCTGGACTTCTGCTTCAAGATTTTAGCAATGCTGCAAAAGATGCGTGAATGACAAGTTTGGGGTGACGTACCCTGAAAATGTCCTCGATGAGGTTGTCGTATGAGCCTGGAGCCCAGGAAGTTCTGCTGACCCCCGCTCTTCACCGTATGGACATTCTGGCAAAGCTCTTGAAATGTCATCTAAGGTGACAACAAAACACGAAATGAGACATGAGGGGATTCCGGACTGTAATTAAAAATCTAATCGGCTCAATTGGGGGGTTTTATTTTTGGGTTTAGATACACTGCTAGTCCAAAAGTTTAAACAAACAGCACTGATTAGTGTCACTTACAATGTATGGTCAAAGTTTGTGGACACCCGACCTTCACACCTATACAAGGTCATTGGAAATCCTGTTCCCTAACCATGAACATTAATATGGAGTTGGCTCCTTTCTGGATATAACAGACTTCACTGTTCTAGGAAGGCCTTACACAAGATTTTGGAGTGTGTCTAAGGGAATTTGTGCCCATGCAGCTAAAAGAGCATTTGTGAGGTCAGGTGAGATAATTTGCGATGTACTGATGTTGGATGAGAAGACCCGGATTGCAATCAGCAGGGTTGAGGTCAGGGCTCTGTGCAGGCCACTCAAGTTCCCCCACACCAACACACCATGTCTTTATGGAGCTGACTTTGTGCCCAGGGGTATAGTCATGCTGGGAACAGATAAGAGCCTTCAGCAAGCTGTTGTGCGCTTTGGTCTAAAATGTCTTTGTATACTGTAGCGTGAACAGTACCCTTCAATGGAAACACCTAAAATCAATAATCTGGAGGGTGTGTCCACATACTCTTGACCATATAGTGTACTATCTTTCTAAAGTTTAGAATCCCTTAAAAAGAACTAAATGGAATCAAATTAAAAACCTACAAGAAGTATATGAATTGTTCTTAGCAAGCTCAGACAGATAGGAGTCTAGCTGGTATAACGCCAATCCCCTTATACACTGTATCAGAATTCACTAAGATGTGACCGACTCAGCGTTAAAACATCACACGTACAGGTTTGGGCGCTGTCCCCTCCTCGATGACCATGGCATTGCTGTCGCTGGATGAAGCATTGCAGTGGAACGGTTCTTGAGATGTATGGCTGCCGCCACTACCATTCCCACCACCAGAGGACGTGCTGTGCACAGGCTGAAAAACACAATGCAAACAACTGTAAGCCGACAACAACTAGAACGGCAAAGTTTATCCATAACTTAGCTAAATCAGCAGAGAAAATTCAGACTGACACAGGTAGATAAAAAGAAAAATAAGGCTTTCAGCCAAATCAATCCCTTGAAGCTGCTGCAAAGACATTCCTCAATAACAGTTTTCATAGAGCAGTTGACAGAAATGTTCAGCTGCTCAATGACACTCACAATTGACTATATGAAGCAGACAATTAGTAAAGCATAAGAAGTTCAGGGATGTGGCTACAAAGGAGCAACTGGCAGCAGCTTTAAAAAGCCAATCAAGCTTATTCAAATTAACTGCACAAAAGATAAATGATGTAGAAACACAAAAAAATAAAGGGTGGCTAAAAGGGAGGAAGGGAAAGAGGAAATAAAAGAAAAGGGTAAGGTACAATAGGTAAAAGGAAATGTAGAGAAAGTAAAGGAAAAGAGATAGGAAGGTCCATGAAAGGAAAGGAAGGGAAATGAGAATGGAAATGGATGAAGAAATGAATAAGGGAAGGAAAAGGAAAGAAAGGGAAAGAATGGAGAATTAAAGGAAAGGGAAAGAAAGGGAAAAAGATAAGAAGAGAAAGGGAAAACAGAAGAAGAGAAAGAGGAAATAAATGAAAAAAGGTAAGGCAAAAAGGTAGTAGGAAATGTAGAGAAAGAAAAGGCAAAAGGGAGACAGGTAAATGGAAAGATAAAAAAAAAAGTGTAGGAAAGGAAAGAACATGAGAAAGGAAATGGAAGACGAAAGGAAAAAAGGGAAGGAAAAGGGGAAAGAAGGGAGAAAAAAGGAAAAGGAAAAAAAAAAAGAAGAGGAAGGTAAAAGGGAAGAAAATGAAGGGAAAGGGAAAGCAAGGAAGGGCTAAGGGAAAGCAAAGTGAAAGGGAAAAGGAAGAAAAAAAGGAAAGGAAGGGAAATGAGAATGAAAAAAGAAAGTGGAAAGGAAGGGACATGTGAACGAACAAGGAACAAGAAAGGGAAGAGAGAGAGAACGGAAAAGGAAAGAAAGGATATGAGAAAGAAAATGAAGGAAAAGGCAAAGAAGGGAAAGGAAATGAAAGTCATGGGAAAGGAATATAAGAGGAATGATGGAAGGGAGGAAAAGGGTGGGAGGAAGGAAGGGAGGGAAGTAAATGGTCTATACCTGCATCAATATCCTGTGGATCTTCTCCGACAGTTCCGGAATATCTGGGTCCACAGGCTTCATTTCTGCCCCTTTAGGTGCAGTAAAGACATCTTCATTGAGAGGACTTCTGCAGAAAGACAAGATGAGGATTGTGTTATAAGAAGATAGGCACACAACCCAAAGAGTAGGGAGAGGGAACAGGCAGAGGCATGGACAGCAGAAGAAACAGGACAGGAGGACAACTGAAATCCCTGAAGATCCAAAGAGTAGCCCCAACCAAAAAAAAACTAGAAACATTTTTCCTCCAAGCTAATAACAGCTACTGGCTCCCTTTTTTTTTTAATCCCAAAAAGCCAGTCCAATGTTAGGACATAGACCCACTATGCCATATGGCTGCTCAGAGTGCAACACAGTTTTCTGCTCATGCATTTCTCTATCCTTAGAACCGCCATACCACTTTCTAAAGGTACCTGAAATCTAATTGGCCCTGGAACAACTATCCTGATATCCTGTACTGTCCAAAATAGGAAACTATCAGGTATGAGGGAAATTTCATATGCAGAGGATTACAGTAGCTTACCATTTTGTAAATTGTAAGACAGAACACTTTGGATTGTTCCGGTACTGTATTGCTCATGTGACTGAAAATGCGAGCGGGTCCTAGACAGGCAAAGAATAATTGTGCCACAGTGGAACTTACGTGCGGACTTTGTGCCTTCCGAGGATGAACGAGACCTTGCGGCTCCACGGATTAACAAAACTGCTCCAGCTGGTGTCAATGGTGACATACTCTCCAGAGCGCGCACACAGGCGGATGGGACAATGTTCGAAAGGTTGGCCGGCCTGCTGTAAGACTGAGGGGCAAAGATTATCATTAATTCAGATGGCACTGACCTGTTCCATCACATTTTAAAGCTGCAGCACCTAAAAAAAAACAATTACATTTCTTCTTAGGACAATATAAAGAAAAAGTATCTTCCGCTACATCCAGAATGGACATTTTTGGCTACAAAACCCAAGAAAACAACTCGGGCTTTCGTAACTTCAACACTCTTTATGTCCAAGGGTTTGTGGAACGTGACCATCACACACCTATATGAACTTGTTGGACATGCCTTTCCAAAATTATGGGCATTAATATGGAGTTGGCCGCCCATTAGCAGCTGTAACAGCCCCCACTCTTCTAGGAATGCCTCACACAAGATTTTGGAGTGTGCCCATCGGCATTTGTGCCCATTTAGCCGATAGAGCATTTGTGAGGTCAGGTAGACCTGGCTAGCCATTGGTTTTCCAGTTTACTCCAAAGGGGTTCCTTAGGGTTGAGGTCAGGGCACTCGAGTTCCTCCACACCAGACTGGTCACACCATGTCTTTATGGAGCTGGCTTTGTTCACAAAAGCAGTCATGGTGTAACAGAAAAGGGCCTTCACCAATCTACTGCCACAATACAGGAGATGGTCAGGTGTCCAAACTTTTGGCCATATATAGTAGGGATGCACGGATACAGGTTTTTCGGTATCTATACTTTGCTTTCGGTACTCGTTGATACCGAGTACTGATACCAATGCTTCTGCTGCCAATCTGATTGCCAGGGAATCCGGCTTCATGTTGTCTGGCCGGCTGATTGGCTGGGAAGCTGGTTTTCCAGGCAATCAGCATGCGAGAAGCCGGTTCCCCGGCCAATCAGCGGGGAGCCAGCTTCCCGGCCAATCAGGAAGTCGGGAGGCGGGTCATTATTCCTCAACCAGCTTCCTGATTGCACGGGAAGCCTTCTCCATGTTCCCCTACGGCAGGGAGGGTATCGGAGCATTTGGGCGAGTACAAAATACTAGCATCAGTCAGTATCGGTGCATCCCTAATACATAGTATATACATCAACAATGAAAATGTACTCATGGCAATATCATCTCCACCAAACCTCCCGCACCAAAACCCACCACACCAGTTTTCTGAGGCTGAAGATGATTGTACCACCAGCAATACTAAAACATGTTACAGATAATACTGTATTGTAAATTCTTTAAGTCAATGTCCTCATCCCCCCCAAAATAAAATACCTTTTGTGTGTATGGCAAGCATGAGCGGCCGGTCCTCGGGATGAATGAAAAATAAAACGGGCATGCCGATAAGATCCTGCGGGAGGTAGCCGAGGAGAGGGACAGCTCTGTAAGATAAAATGGAGGCCTATCAGACAGTGTTTCAGGAAGATGAACAGATAGACGCACAGGCGGGGGGACATCAAACTCACCTCTCATCTACCTCCTGGAACACACAGCTAGGCGTATGCCTGGTGGTGAAAATCCGCTTATCTGCCGGTATTCGTGGAGCTGTGAAAAGAAAAAAAAACACATCAGCAAGACAATAGGCGCCACCTCTTCCTTCCTACCTATACGCGGCTTGCTACCTATTCCTCCCTCAATTCCTCACATAGTAAACTAATGGAGAACTCCAATCAGGAATTCCGCTTTATTTTTCCATCATCCGCAGCAGACCTGACATAAAGGACACAATGTACAAACTTGCTCCCTTATAGAGGTGGCAATACAAGTCCGAATGCCGGCTATAGTTCTGCTCCAGACAATCAAGCTGCCTAGGGAAAACTTAGAGAGCAATAAGTGACGAGGGAGCATGGAGCCGGCTTCCTGGCCAATCAGGAAGCTGGGGACTGTATAATGACTCGCTGCCCGGCTTCCTGATATCGGAAGCTCAAGTATCGGGCTAGGCATCGGAGCATGGGAACCGATACTAGTATCGGTATCAATGCACCCCTAGTTACTAGGTTGTCCAAACAATCCTTTAACCACAAATCTCTGCAGCCGTTCTAGAATCTATGTATTAAATCTCAGCCTGTTACCTGGACCACCCAACTCCAATGGCAGACTAGACTAGACTTGTCTAAGATGCTATTCAAGACTTACCAACAATATCTTCTCTTATCCTGGGGGAACACAAACCCCACCCCAGAGCACCCCAACTCCACCCAAATTCTGTTCTAAGCACCTCCCCCACAGACCTCTATAGCACATTACATATGTTAGCACTACACACAAAACTCATGTCAAAACGTGCCCAAATTCTGCCCATACAAGCGAGCCCTTGGGGACATCTCATTGACACTTTCTACTCAAATGGGTCTCAAGCAGACAAAGGATCTCCACTTAAAGGGCAACTCCAACCAAACAGCTAAATCCTTCCTTTTGAGAACCTAAATCCCATGTACTCCTGAGCGCCTTACCTTGCCTTCCCTTCTGCTCCCTAATTTAACTACTTGAGTAACATCTGTTCTCTTACCCTCATATCCCGAGTGGATCTTCTCAGCGATGAGCAGACAGCAGGGCTGCCCCTCGGCGTTGTCCGAATCTCGCACCTTCATCAGGTACGGGGTGAGGCGGAAAGGGTGATAGCGGAGGTTCATATCCCGCTCCCGGCCCCCACTGAAAACACACGCCTGCAATAAGACCAGAGCCAGGGAGACCACAGCAACAAAGGGGGCAATACAGGGTGCATTTGGGGGAAGGAGAGATGCTGGTGAGGTGGGGGTGCTGGGTGTGGTATGTTTCTTAATAAGGAGAAAAATGTATGAAATGGACAGAGAAAACGGACATGTGCTATGACAATAGGGAGGAACGAGAGAGACAGAAGAAAATTGCAATGTCAGAGATATTATATATAATAGATGTGGTGGGATGCATGTGACCAAAACCAACCAATCAGCACAATACCTAGATCTTCATTGATAACCTGTATACTCATACATGGTCACGAAGGATCGTTCAATATGGAATATCCCGACAGATTCAGGAGATTAACAATCAAAGATCAGAGTGAGTTTATAGAGTAAGTTGCCGATCGGACTACTTCAAATTTTTACTCCTCGTCTGACGTAGATGAGATGGTCAGGTGTCCACATCTGGCCATCTAGCGTACGTTCACATTAAGCCCTCGTTCACACCTGAACGTTTTGTTGCGCGTTCTACGGTCGACGAATGCTCTACAAAACGCTCAAACATGAAAATCCCATTGTTTTCAATGGGTCTGGTTCACACCTTGGCGTATTTCAGCCCGTCCCTAACGCGCTACAAAACGGCCCACGCCTGAAAAGGTACATGTACTACTTTGTGCCGTTTTTGTTGCGCGTTTCCATTGGGATACAGCCAAGTAGCCCTCGGAAACGCGCGATTGTGGCGCGTTTTTTTTACCGCGAATCACGGTAAAAAAAAACGTGCGACAACCACGCGACAGAGACGCGCATATGCAATACGCCTAGGTGTGAACCAGGACTTACAGAGGACGGTGAAGGGTTCGCTTAACTGGATAAAATGCTTCACAGTGATCCACGAATCTTCCTAAAATAACGGAAGCTCATATTCTCCCTTCTCTATATATTCAACCAACCTGACATGGTGACTCTGCCATACGTGCCAAACTGATGTCATTTTAGACCTAGCTTCCTGACGACCAGCTCCGGGACGCCGATTAAGCAGGAGTCTACAGTAAACAGAACCTCCGTACAATAATTTTCCATCTGGCAAACGTTCTAATTTTTAGATTCGCAGCACATTGGGGCCACTAGACGGAGGCAACGAGCACAAGAATTTCCTATGGCCACTAGAGCTGAGGAGCATATGAAATTCCCATGCTCCTTGGCTCCATCTAGTGGCCATAATGAGGTATGAATCTAAAACTTAGCTGTTCGCAGGCATGTTTGCTCTGCAAGTTACCCCTATTAGCGTATTCAGGTAAATTATACTTTTTCAAACAAATTGGGCCTTTAGTGTTAAATGGTAATGCATGCATCCCAACTTTTTTTTATTTAGCTGTATATTTCGTGCATGAGGATACTACATATGTGTGCATTATTGGTCCTTTGTACCTGTAGTAGGGCCCAGATAAACAACAGTGCATTTTGCTTTCAGAAATCATGTGATCACAGTGACTGGCTATCGCAGTAATCACGTGATCAGGAGCCTGTCCTACTAGCTCCCAATCGCCGCATTGTGACTGGAAGCTGTCAGTGACAGTGTGGTCACAGTGTCCGGGGTGCGTGACCGAGCGTGCTCCGGTCACAAAATAGTGACACATATGTGTGGCAGTAGGGAACAAGGCCCACTTCCATGTTGTTATATATATATATACACACACACATATATACATACACACACATACACATATATATATATACGGCCGGTGTGAAGGGGTTGAAGAATACATTACCCCTTGTGATTTACATTTTTGAACAAACTCATGACATATCCTCTATTTTAAGGTCAGGTTGTACTTTATGTCGTTTTAGTGCCGGTCTATTGCCATGACCTGAATTACTCCATAGAACCCATTGCTTCAGTGGCTTACACTGATGAGTGCTTACTAGACACAACCAGGTATACTCAGGTTGATTAAATGGCTGTATACTTTGTCTCCAACCCGTAGACGTGGAATCTGTAACAATAACGTCACTTCTCACTACCCTCCATAACGAACACATCTCTCTTATTAATGAAATGAGATGAAGGCATCTCAGCACCTTCAGAGAAAACATCTACAGGTCATATACAGCACTAGCCCTCCAGACGTCTCATTATTCTGCAAACAAAACAAAAAAACCTCCACTGGTCACATCCTCTGCTGAGATTACATTGAATCGGATCCATTCAGCTGTGAATCTCCTATGTACAATGTGTAGGTTATAAATTTCGAGCCGACATATGAAATTCATTGCTTGCCATGCTGCTGGGCTTGCCGGAGAAAAGTTACACGCGCCGAGATTGTGCGGAGAGGGGGTGTGTGTGTGTGTGTGACGCAAGACATGTCGGCATGGTAATTACAAGCTCTATAGTGTCACAGCTGTGTGAGATGGGATTAAATAAGGGAGCCGGAAGTAGGGGACTTCCGGAGGAGGAGGAGGGGAGAAGGGAGTCCCTATCTCTGGGTATACATATGATGGAATTAGGGAGCTCTCTATGTAAAGGTTTAAAAAAAAAAATCGATCAGTTTTCATACAAATGATCTGGGCGGCCAACTCCGTGTGTGTGATCATTGTATGATATGACAGTGTTAGAAACAATGTAACTGATCAATGTGTCAGTGCTCTGGGTATATACAATGTGTGCAATCAGTGTATATACAACGTGTGCAATCAGGGTATATACAATATGTGCAATCAAGGTATATACATAATGTAACCGATCAATGCATCAGTTCTCTGTCATATACAGTGTGTCAGATCAGTCTGCCCCCCCACCATGTGTATATACAATGTGTGCGATCAGGGTATATACAATGTGTGAAATCAGTGTATATACAATGTGTGCGATCAGGGTATATATATATACAATGTGTGCGATCAGAGTATATACTGGTCATGCTGTACTCCAGCATGACCAGTCACTGTCCCCTCTTCCCAATATGTAGGTGAAATGGAGCCGTGTATTCTGTGTATACTATATATAGATTGGTATGTTGTGTTCTCTGTTTGGAAACACGTATCTGTTATGCATTTTATATATTTGATTGATTTTTTTCTTTCTCTCACATCTCTCCTCTCGGTATAAGACAACTGCAATAAAATTAGTCAGTGTTATTTCTACTTCTCCACAATTTTACGATACCCACCTGATCCGACAGAAGACAGACTTCTCCTGAGTGTAGTCCATTGAAGCTGTATCTGGAGGAAGATAAGAGAGATTGGAGTCAAAAAATGTCATACTGCAGGAGGAGGACAGACTCATAGCTCCCTTCTGTCTGTATCACCCTGCAGGAGGAGGACAGACTCATAGCTCCCTTCTGTCTGTATCACCCTGCAGGAGGAGGACAGACTCATAGCTCCCTTCTGTCTGTATCACCCTGCAGGAGGAGGACAGACTCATAGCCCCCTTCTGTCTGTATCATCCTGCAGGAGGAGGACAGACTCATAGCCCCCTTCTGTCTGTGTCACCCTGCAGGAGGAGGACAGACTCATAGCTCCCTTCTGTCTGTATCACCCTGCAGGATGAGGACTCGTAGCCCCTAGGACACACTGGCACTTCTCTTTCTATGCATTACCTCCAGATATGCAATTGCTCCAGGATGGGAGGTGATAAGGTGCTGTGGACCCATAGAAGACACTGACATCTTGGGGGGCCAGGAACTCTGCAAATGTCGCTCCTTTAAACACGTCCCTTTTACAGTGCAGGATAAGGGAGGCCTGGTCAGAGATGTACATGATACGGCCGGTGATAAAGGAGACCGCCACAGAGAATGTGTCCTGGAGGGAAACAAAATGTAAAAGAATGCAGGATTTTAGAACAATTCTGCCTACACACTACATCTGATATCAGGTACATAACATATACTTTGGTATATATTGCGTGTATATATATAATACGAATAATTATTGAGGTATTAGACCCATAGTGGTATCCCCCACCCGTACTTCCACTTTTTCAGCCATATTGGGATAACACCTACCTTATATTTGTTGCCAATCACATAGTATAACTTAAAAATATTAAAACATTTGCAATCTCAATCCAGTGAGAAGCTTGTAGCGTGCAGTGAAATCAGTGTAAGCGAATTCAGTGCAGGAGAGGAGCTGGTACAACAGGGAAGGTCAAAGTTCAGATGGAAGGGCTGATGTATAAATCTTCCACCCATAGTACAGATGGGTGAACGCTGCTGGCATGGCATTACTGCCACTAGATGGAGCTGAGAAGCATTGGAAATTCCTATGCTCCTCGGCTCCACCTAGTGGTGGTAATGCAGTGTGAATGGCTAGAAGATTTATACACCAGCAAGTATGTGTTTAATGGACTACGGTTTATTTTATATTATGGATTGTTTATATCAAAGTTATTCACAACCTGTGATATCGGAGCTATGCAGCTATTGTGTGGGGTTGATGCTTTGATTTTAAGATCTAAGACTATCAACCCCCCTAGCTTGCACGCTGGAGCTTGAGCTGCGCTACCCTGCTTTCCCCTTAGGTAGATCTAGGGGTACTCACAGGATTCTTTAAGGTGTACCCCGATGTGACGCTTTCCACCTCCTCGATAGTGAAGCTGGACATGTCCAGGCTGCATGGCTGGGACTCATCGATGGTCCACTGCTGGTAATATTCTTGGTTAGCTGAGGAAACATAGAAAACTATTAGCAAGCAGAGACACAAATATGGCTGCGACTGACCCCTGAGCCCAGCATGCAAAAAAAAAAGCATTAAAGCCTATCTACCTAAGCAGTGGGGCTCCATATCCACGGCAAGGGTTAAAGAAGAACTCTGGGAATTTAAAAATGTACCCGTGCAGGGCAGGGGTTAGCCCCACTGCAAGGGTTAAGTGCTCATTTTGTCTAGGAGTGCACAAATAAAGCAGATATAGTCACCTGATCCTGGGGCCCTCTGCGGTCAGCGCCCACCTCGCTCCCTCCCTCTCCGTTTTGGCTGTGGAATGTCTCTCGGTGTCCTCACATCTAATGCAAGTCAATGGATCTGCATAAGACGTGATGACATCATCGGTCCTCAGACTGCCAGAGCCCAGGGAAGAAGAGGCTGTGGGGACCGGTCTAGCAGATGAGAGGGACTAAGGATCAAGTGAGTAAATCTGCTTTACCTGAGCCCCCTAGATAAAAACGAGCAAATGTTAAAAATAAGTACCCTTGCAGTGGGTCTACCCCCGCACTGCAAGGGTACTTTTTTTAAACATTTAATGGCTTGTTTTTGTCTAGGGTTACCTGTGCAAAGCACTTTAGCTTGCCTGATCCCCATTGGCTCCTGCGCCCACAGCTTTGTCCCCTCTCCGCTCCAAGGGTCAGAGGCTGCCGTCATCACGTCCAATGCAGGGTCCATAGCCCAGCAATATGCGTGAGGACGCCGAGAGACATTCCATGACCATGATTGGAGAGGCGAGAAAGGTGAGCGTTGACTGCGGGGATCAGGTAAGGTAAATGAGCAGTTAACCTTTGCAGTGCAGGGCAGCCCCACTACAAGGGCATTTTTAGGTTTTAAAACGAATCCAAATCCAAAACTTTTCTTGTATCGCTATTTGTCGCCGGGACAGAAAATGATAGAAAATCCAAAATGTAACAATTGTCACCGGAACAGGAATAGAGCGGCATCTTCCAATGGCGTCATCCATCCCTTTAACCCTGCCCACTAATAGGAGGAGTGGACCTGTGAGAGAAAGTTGCAGCAGGTGCAAAAGCCAGCCTGCAATTGGCTATTGCAATTTGAAATAGCCAATAGCAGTCTGGTTATTGCTCCCCATTGTGTACTGCCTGCTGCCGACCATGTACAGTACAATACAGTACACTCCTCGGTTGGGTTACGATGGGCTTATCAGAAGGTAACCCCATCATAAAACAAAGAGAGTCTGTATTGTGTTACATATTCCTAACATGCAGTAAGAAAGATTTTAAAAACAACTATCGGCTAGTGCAATTTGAAATAGCCAATAGCGATCTTGCTATCGCTCCCGACTGTTTACATTCACCTGCCGGCAGGAAGCTAGCCGGCAGGTGAATGAGGAAGCAGAGCGCCTCGGAGATGGTTGCTTTAGAGTTACTATGAACTCTCAAGCAACCAGAAACTACAGTTATCCGGCACCTACCGATCACGTGGGTGCCAAATAACTGGGAGTTTACTGTACAGTACTCCATCGTAAATGCGAAAGATCGAAACTTGATGGATCGCAACCTGAGGAGCATCTGTAATATTTATAAGCCGGGCTCTGAGAAATAACTCTCACAAATGTGCCATAATGTGGCATTCTACGATCATATATATCTATCACATGTCATTTCCGCTCACCTCGGACTTGTTTGACGCAGGACAGCGCGTACTGCAGCGTGGCCAGAGTCCCAGATTTGCCTTTCATTCTTTTTCGGGATGGCAGGCGGATTTTCAGCTCCTTCAGAGCCTTCATTAGTTCCTTCTGATTCTTCTCCCGGGCGGACTGTTCACTGCTACAAAAAGGAGACGAGAGAACAGCGTCAGTGGCGCGGCATTCACAGAGTTGAATCTTTCAAGTGATGAAGGAGGCAAGGTGTAGCCCCCCGAAACGCAAAAATCACAGTGTGGCATTTCACCTGAAAACTGCTAAAAGTCTAACTCTAGGAAGGTTTACCTTCACAGGTTTAAAGCGGCCAATCCCCTTCCTCGGGGAGGACCTCGCGGTCATGCAGCATTCTTCTAAGTGCTGAAAATCATTTTGGGTATATGACGGGGGAAGTTCGGCTCCCGCTGTACATCCCGGCCGATCCGTGTGTAAGCGATGCAGGTCTTGTACACCTCCTTGCAACGGTCGCATCTCAGCCCCCTTCTCTTCCTCACCATTCACAAAACACAGTCCCAGGCTCCGCTTGTGAATGGCCAAAAGGAGAGGGAGGCAGAGACGTGACCAGAGCACTTACCTCTAAGAGACCTGCAGCACTTACTGGACTTCATTCGCCATAAGAACAAAATCATTTGCAGGATATAAGCCGGCATGGCAGCGATGTCCTCCAAAGGAAGGAGAAGTTTTGTATTGGGCTTTAGTCCAGTTTTTGGGTGAAATGCATGAGTGGAGGAGCTCCCGGGTGGGAATCCCTGTTTGTTCATTTGGACTAATAAAGCTATTCACGTAGGTCTGTAGAAAATAAATCAAGGCAACTGGACTTGCTGTATTTTTCTTGAAGATGTTTTGCTGGTTATGCGACCAGCTTTTAGAATTCTGAACTGGGAAAGCTAGTCGGATGACCAGCGAAACGTCTTCAGGAAAAATACAGCAACTCCAGTTGCCTTGATTTATTTCCTACAGATATACCGTGGCCTGGATGAATGAGAACCTTTACAGACCTATTCATGAAGGATTTGAATGGAGTGCCTCCAGTGCTTTACTGACAAAAAATCTCATGGGGTTTTAAACCTTCCCTATTCTATACATAACAAACAAAAACGTCCTGGCTATAAATACACTTAAGGCCCCATTCACACAGAGCGACATGAAAATCGCGCGATTTTCCGCGCGATTTTATATGAGCGATATTGAGCGACGTGTCGCGCGACTTTTTCCCTATTGGGCTGTATGCAATCAGGAGCAAAATCGCTCGAAAAAAGGGTCATGTAGGAGCGACAAGCTACCAGCAACGAGCTCCAAGCGATATTGAGCGATATTGAGCTGTGAGATGTGAACAGCTCCATTGAAATGGATTGGAGAAGCTACATAGAGCGATATCGCGTGGAAATAGGAGCGATATCGCTGCAAAAATCGCTCAGTGTGAATGGGGCTTTAATAAATCAGAGGTGGGCCATGTGCACTAAGGCCCCGTTCACATTGAGCGGTTTGCAAATCGCGCGATTGTCGCGTGATTTGCATTTTGCGCAATATCGCGCGATTTGTCGCGCGATATCGCGCAAATGCTTGCATTGAGCAAGCTTGAATCGCGGCTAAATCCGCTCCAAAAAGGGTCCTGCTGTAGCGACACACGACCCGCGACAGCAGGACCCTTTGCCCCATTGAGAAGCATTGGAGAGCGATATCGCGCGGTAAATTGCCGCGATATCGCGGGAATTACCGCGCGATAAATCGCTCAGTGTGAATGGGGTCTTAGGTGGGCCAGGCGAATTTAGGTGGGCCATGGGGGCTCAGGTGGGGCAGATGAACAAACACACACATTTGACAACAGAGACGGGACTTACCTGCAGCCGCTGGTGGAAGGGTTGTCCTGTTCGGAGCTATTGCTCAGGAGACTGTATGCGATGGAACTGCTGGGAGGCGAGGGGCTGTGAGAGTTCGTGCTGCGGGTGGAAACAAAATGCATCACATTGAAGCTGAGGTTTCAGGTGCTCACTCCAGCTACAAATAACATCAGAAGATGGACAATTCCTATCACCAGCTATAAATCAACTAAAGGAAAACTTTTAAAGGGCCAGTCCTCTCAAAGGTTATATTTCTGTTATGGGCGGAGTCTGAAGTTCTGAATTACCCGCTGGCTGTTTCTATCTCTAGGGAACCCCAGAGGAGCTATTTCCTATAGGTCCACAGCTACGTTTCAGCACAGCTTGAAGTTCTGGGTGTTGCAGAGTCACAAGAGAGACAAAAAAAAAGCCATATTTGCAATTCGTGGGGCAAATCCAGACGCCTATGGCTGCGTGGGTCCCGGGTATTTGGCTTTAGCGCTCGCTGCACGTGCTGTCTGTGAATGTTGCACCGTGGAGACGTCTAGAAGACAGTATACGGGTCTGTAACCATACGTGCTCCTCGTGCTGTCCATGGTGCTGAACCTCTCTGCTCTATTACATTGGGTCAGTACGTGGATGCTTCACTTCTGCTCTCCTACCCCGTGTCTGCTTAAAGCCGGGCTGGATAAATCCCAGGAGTCAGGTCGCCAATGCCCCTTTAAAAATGACAGCTGGCGCCTAACTTTTGAGGTTTTCTCTAGTTGTTGTTAATAGAGCCGGTTCCTAAAAAAAAATCCTGCTGGCCCCTGGATTGGACAAACTGGCTCCTATATTCCATATTCATTATCCCCCCTGGCTTAAAGGACAAGTACACTTTAAGACAAAGTGAACTTGTCCTTTTTGCCCCCTGACCTCACCTAACCCCCCCCCCCTTTCACAGATGCATACTTACCTGGATCAGAGAGCCGCAGCCACCAATGTTAGTATACATTATCGCTGCAAGTCTTGCTGTCCTAGCCGTTCCCTCGTATTAAAGCCACACAGACTTCTATGGGGCCTTCCAATCTCAGGACACCATCCCATAGAAACCTATGAGGCACTAATGCGCAGGCGCTTTCCCCATTTACACCCAGCATGGCACCCAAGCTACATGGCGGGGGTGATGAGTCTCTTTACAGGGCTGTGCTGCCCTGCTGTAAGCCTTACGGCCGGCAGCGCTCTCATGAGACGAACTCGGGGTGTGCCATTGTTGGCCTCCTTATACAAATGCTAGTTGCCTGGCTCTGTCTGGCTTCAATACATCCAGTTACAGAACTGGAACAAGAATCTCGCAAAAGAAAGTCAGAGAAGACTCGGAACTCCTTGGGAGGGAATAAATAAGGAGTGGCACAGGCTTAAAGCCAACGCTTCCCAGCTGAGAAAATGGAGCAGATCCTGCTACAAGCCCCTCCTGTTAGTTAGGAGCGACCTGCTCCATTTTCATATGCTGTGTCTGCACCAGACAAGGCATAGAGAGCAGGAGCTGTTTGCTTTGCCTCCCTCTACCCGCCCCAGGTTACTGGCAGACATTGGACACCCCCCTAGAAGAGGTCCAATCTGGCAGAGGATCCCTTTGTGATTTAGACACAGAACCCATATATTGTGTAGGTGTCACAAGGACAGGAAGTTATGAAATATCTCTACAATGGAGTTATGCTTTAACCAGAGTTAGCGTTCCCCGTCTCGCCTCTCTCACCTCTTGCTGCTCTCGGTCGTCTCCAGCATGGCCGAATCCTTCCCATTGCCGCTGGTACTGCTGTGGGAGCTGCGGCTCTGCCGAGACTCGTTCCCATTGTACTCGTTACCACTGGAGCCGTGGCTGTTGGTGTCGGTCTCGTCTTGCTGCGTCCCCTCCATCTCCAGCGCCCCCCGCGTTCTCCTCCCTCTCTCCCCAATGGGGGGAGGAGGCTCGCAGGATCCGTTCATCCCCTCCATCTTGGCCGGTCAGTGGAGTGAAGAACCCGAGAAGAAGAAGTGTAGAATGGAGACAATCTGAGGAAAAAAAAAGAACAGGAAGTTAGATTTCAAAGATGAATCTCGTCATTCCACGGAGGAGAACGGAATTTGGGAAACAGCTTTCGTTCCCTTTGCGTTTGTAGCTGGTGTCGCACTTGATGTGCCCAATGACTTATAATCGTGCCCCTCGTGTATAAGAGAACTCGGCGTTCTGACTCAGACCTTTATTACAAACACTCGCTGGCCACCTGAGCTCACACCCACTCATGGCCTGGAGAGCGTTCCCTATACACAGGGGACGCACGTTGGAGGACACTATAGGCTCAAGGGGGTGAAATCCACATTTCTAGGGATTTTCTTCTCTTTCAATTTTATTGCTTCTATTTATAAAATAAATGTATATAAAGGGGGGATCTTGATGTAAAGGGGGTCTCTGATGTGAAAGGAGGGGGCCCATAATATAAAGGGGGGATCTTGATGTAAAGGGGGTCTCTGATGTGAAAGGAGGGGGCTCCTAATATAAAGGGGGCTCTGACGTGAAAGAGGGACTTTTCTGTTTTTGCACGGGCTTCCCCCTTTAAAATCCATATCAGACCCCTATCTGGTATAGCTTTTCGAGGGGCCACACGTTCTCTTTCACATTTAAAACCTTTATTATTTTAGACCGGGGTGCCCCAAGATTTTGCACACTTTTAAAGGGCACCGCGACCTTAAAAAGGTTGAGAAGCGCTGTCCTGAACTTTCTACATTGGCGCGCTTGTAAACTACAACCGATCCTGTTATCAGCGACTGCTTATGTCATGAGAGAAGCATTCCGGGTGACGCGGAGAAGCTGACTAATCCAGAGTTACATAACATTATATAAAGACTTCTTCTACAGATGTCACCCAAGCTGACGTGACACATAAAGAAGACACAATGGAAGGCTAGAGATCAAAAAATATTATTAATTACTCGCAATCAAGACGATTCCTCATTTGCATAACAATTCTAAACTGTGAGATTCTGAAGAAAGACGCGTTTCAGCTGCATAGGGGCAGAGATAGGAAAACGACGACGGATACAATGAAATCATCATTTATAAGTAAACCATTGAGGGCTCGTTTACACTTCGGCATTACGGTGAAGAGTGCGTTATGCACGTTACTGCCATGCACCCTCATCACAGCGTGCAACAGATACCATGTTAGGGTTCATTTTGAATAGGCTGCCTTAACGCAACACATGAACGTGCGACACAACGCATGTTGACGCACTTCAAAGAAGTGCTCCCGCATCCCATGCCGAATTTATCACAACCTTGGCCAATCCAAACCAAGCGTATGATGAAAAAGGTAACCTTCCATCAGTAGGTCCAGAGGTACAAACAGCCGAATTTCTATGCAAATCTTCACCTGGGAAGGTCAAGTTTGACACGCCCCCCTTCTGCCTCCTAAAGCTCTGATTGGCTTCTTAAGACCCGTGTACATGGGCTTCTGCTTGCATTATAACTGTGTTTCTATATAGAAGCCAAAGCAGCTCAATGCAACTTAGAACGAGGCCAACTGCAGGTCACATGACTTGTGGAGGAACTCAGATGACACTAAGAAGCATCTCAAGCTGACCTCAAATGCAAGCAGCAACCCAAAACGACACTTTCATTGCCCATATACACAACCTGAAATGTGACAGGCGGTCTCCTGTGTCTCCAGTGACCCCCGTGTTTCCAGTGACCCCCGTGCGCTCCTGTGATCCTGTGCGCTCCTGTGACCCCTGTGCGCTCCTGTGACCCCGTGCGCTCCTGTGACCCCCGTGCGCTCCTGTGTCTCCAGTGACCCCCGTGTTTCCAGTGACCCCCGTGCGCTCCTGTGATCCTGTGCGCTCCTGTGACCCCTGTGCGCTCCTGTGACCCCGTGCGCTCCTGTGACCCCCGTGCGCTCCTGTGACCCCCGTGCGCTCCTGTGTCTCCAGTGACCCCCGTGTTTCCAGTGACCCCCGTGCGCTCCTGTGACCCCGTGCGCTCCTGTGACCCCCGTGCGCTCCTGTGACCCCCGTGCGCTCCTGCGTCTCCAGTGACCCCCGTGCGCTCCTGCGTCTCCAGTGACCCCCGTGCGCTCCTGTGACCCCGTGCGCTCCTGTGACCCCGTGCGCTCCTGTGACCCCGTGCGCTCCTGCGTCTCCAGTGACCCCCGTGCGCTCCTGCGTCTCCATTCACCCATGCAATGCACAGCTCTCTCTCCCACCGTGTGATGCACGGCTCTCTCTCTCTCTCCCACTGTGTGATGCACGGCTCTCTCTCTCCCACCGTGTGATGCATGGCTCTCTCTCTCTCCCACCGTGTGATGCAGGGCTCTCTCTCTCTCTCTCCCACCGTGTGATGCACGGCTCTCTCTCTCTCTCCCACCGTGTGATGCACGACTCTCTCTCCCACCTTGTGATTCACGGCTCTCTCTCCCACCGTGTGGTGCACGTCTGTGAGGGAGAGCGTCTGTGAGGGAGAGTGTATGCGTCTGTGAGGGAGAGTGTATGCGTCTGTGAGGGAGAGCGTATGCGTCTGTGAGGGAGAGCGTATGCGTCTGTGAGGGAGAGTGTATGCGTCTGTGAGGGAGAGCGTGTATGCGTCTGTGAGGGAGAGCGTGTATGCGTCTATGAGGGAGAGCTTATGCGTCTCGTCTATGAGGGAGAACGTATGCTTCTATAAGGCAGAACGTATGTGTCTATAAAGGACAGTGTATGTGTCTATAATGGAGAATGAATGCGTCTATAAAGGACAATGTATGCATCTATGAGGGAGAGCGCATGCATCTATAAAAGACAGCGTATACGTCTATGAAGGAGAACATATGAGTCTATGAAGGACAGCGTATGCGTATATGAGGGGGAGCGCATGCATCTATAAAGGACAGCGTATGCATTCATGAAGGAGAATGTATGTGTCTATAAAGGACAACGTATGAGTCTATGAGGGAGAACGTACGCGTCTATAAAGGACAGCATATGCGTCTATGAGGGGGAGCGCATGCATCTATAAAGGACAGCGTATGCGCCTATGAGGGAGAACGCATGTGTCTATAATGGACAGCGTATGCATGTATACATCAACTTCAGCCATAATAACAGAGAACGGCGAGCATGCACATTAGGAATAAATAACGACACAGCACGGAGGACTGACGATTTGTACTCACACAACAGTCCCCCTCGGAAAGCGATTAGAGGAGCTCAGCGCTGCACAGGTCCCTGTCCTTGGAGAAGCACATCTGGTAGAAGCTGTATCCTCCTCTATGCAGTCCCCCTCCCTCTGTGCAGGTAATCCTGGCACTCTCTTCCCTGTCTCATCCTCCTCTGTGTGCTGCTTTCTCCCGGCTGCCGTCCTCTTTCATTACCTTTCCAGCTCTCGTCTCTGCTCATCCCCTGCCTTCCTATAGGTCGGCCGCCCTGTGATGTCACTGACCCGCCCAGTGAGGTAATCCCCCCACACGTGGAGGACAGTGCTGCATAACATGCAAATAAGGGAGAGCGTGGATGGGCCGAGAATTAACCCTTTCCCTGGATCAGGACCAGCGCCAGCCCGGCACGCCGGTAATCCCGTCCTATTACATCACCGCAGACTCCGCCCCTGTTATGTCTGATATACACCGGGGGGGGGGGGGGGAAGGGGAAACCAAAAAAACGCAAAGGGAAA